CGCCGTAGCCGTATCTTCAGCGCAGCAGGTAAGAACTCAATCTTGGATCTCTCATCTCTCTCTCTCTCTCTCTCGATCTTCTTCTTCATCGTGGTCTTCTTGTTGCAGGTGCGCGGCGGCTTCTTCCACCTCGAGGTCCGCTATGGCGGACTGCCTTCTCCAGCGGCCACTTCAGCTATGGCGCATCGGCCCTGCACACGACGGTGCGCGCGGAACAGCGGGTACCAGCTCCGATACCAGTGAAATCAGACTCGACTTATTCACACTTGTCATGCACGTGAACAGCAGAACAGCGAACTGGCGACATGCGCCCACACTGTACTCAGAGATATCGTAACCAGATAAGAGTTCTCTTGTAATTGGCTATGGCGGCTGTGCSCCCAAACACCTCGCTGCTCACACTCTGGATCACCCTGGATGTCCCACGCACATCACTCTGTACACACACTCAGTACACAYACTCTGCMCTCTACACTAAGCTATGGCARCTATGGCTGCYGCTACCTATCGCTATGGCTACAGTACGTCACTCTCGCCCACTTCGTCTTCGGGCCTTCTGCAGACCTCCTCGCACAAGCTGCTGAGGCAGCGCTTCCGCATGGCTTCCGCAGGAATGAATGATGGCTGGACGCAGCCTCTTGATTTATACTTCTGCGCTGCGTTGGTCTGCCCTGTGTCCCTTGGCCCCTGGTGCACACAGTCCCAGWCGGTACTTGCTGGACAGGACCGGACTGCCTAACTGGGACTGTTGACTCAGCGAGGTGGCCTACCACCACTTGACCACTTGCCTCTGTTCAACGCAGGTTCACTCCGAAAGGCCACTTCTAGAAACCTCTAACTTRGCCTTTCGGTACTGTAGCAGCTACGACTTTGCCCCTTCAGGTAAGTAGCAGCTACGACMTTGACCCTTCAKACATCCTACAACTACGACTTCGGAACTGTCTAGACTCCTACCCTACAGGTCTACAGTTCGATTCCCTTCTACCCTGTGACCTACGAAAACCTACCTACCACTGGCGGTCCTACAGGTCGCAGGTTSAADTCTAHGGGTTGAMACTGGTACTGTACACAGGTAAGACGGGGAACTAGGGATCGAGCCCTGGGATCTGCATTCGCTACTGCGAACTGGTGAATACCGTTTCATATGCCCATCATCTGACTCAAAATATGGATTAGATTATCTCCTCAACTTCCCTGGCCTGGTTGAAAACGTTGAGAAGGGGTGTTATTCTGAGGGAGGCAGACTGGGTTGTAGGGACTCAACCTGATGACCAGCATAGGGTTGGACAAGTGGTTCACCTTCACCCTAAGGGTGCCCTTATTGTCTGTACAGGCTGAATAGGAGCCACCTCCTCAATGCACCGGAGGATCAAGTGGTCTTTTTCCCTTTCGAGCATTTGTATCAGATCAAAGTCCTCTTTGTCTAATCCATCAAAGGACGGAGAGTGTTCCACCCTGAGATGCCAATCCTCAAACTCCCTTTTGACTCGGCAAAATTGCTTTGGCAGACGAGCAGGAGAGGACGACCACGGTCTTTGTTCTCTCTTACGGTCAAGGCGACATACAGATTGCTAAGGCCCAAAGTGGACATTTCAGCAGTCATTTTGGACCGGTGGGCCTGCCATCTCAATATTGATGCTAATTTAATTAAACATGTAACTTGATGTAAGGCTTTTTTAAAACCTCAAGCAGAGGCCAGCAAACTTTGCGTCACTACAATGGCAGATTTTCCATCGCTGCCTACCCACCAATGACTGGATTATTTATCGGTCCACTTTAGAACAGAGAGGTCTAGCATTACCATGGTGCAAATTGTGGTATTCTGCATTTCCCAGTAAACGATCTACAGAGACTATCGAGCATATATTCATGCAATGCCCAGGGTCAGTTCTGTGGTGGAGAAGATGGGACTGCATATGGAGAAATTTGACAGGTTTGGAATGGCCCTGGGATTGGCGTGCCATCTTGTTCGGATATTGGGACCCTCCTTGTTTTCAACTAACTTCCTTTCAACACAATTTTTTGAACTAGGCCGCAAGGCGGTCTTATGGTCTCTTTGGCATAAACGTCGTGTTCATGAAAGGGGAAATGTCAATATGGAGGTTTCAGAAATGGCAGATCTAATAATACAATTTGTTCAAACAGAAATTTGTGCCGATTGGGCAGTCATCAAAATTAAATGATTTTTTTTTCATCAAAAAATTCGAAAAAAATCATATTCGACAAACTATTAAGAAAAGTGAATTGGCTGGGGAGTTCTGAGGGGGAAGGCCTGGGTGAGGTTAAATGGCCAGGGAGGACGGGCCAGAAGTCCAGCTTCAAAGGGATTTCTATCTCACCTTCCGGGATTGGTTCAAGCTTCCCCCAGGAGCCTGTCTCAAAGACGCGTCTTTCTTTTCAGACCCTTTTCCCCTTTCTAGTCTAGCGCTTGGTGAGGTTCAAAGTTAGGGGGAGGGGAGAGGTGAGGGGTTACTATCTAAAGTTTTCAGGGAAAGAGCAGATTTGCTAGGTTGCATGGTATCATTTGGCGGCCTGAAGCAAAGAAGAAAAAAAAACAATCTCAGTGGTACTATCAGCAAAGTGCAGTAGAAACGCTGGGCCAGGTTCCCAGTATGTGATGTCTTTACCATTTCAACAATGTATTTCAAGGGACGCTGAACCCGCTTTCCAGCAAGTGTAGCTCCCCCCCAATAGACTGGAGCCCCCTGTAAGACCGGTAGGAGTGCATGCTCTTATCATCACTCCTATCTGTTGACGCAGGTGGTGTTTTGTTAAAAAAAGAAAAAGAAAAAGAAGAAAACAGAAGAAAAGGAGGACCACGACGAGGAGGACAAGAAGAAAAAGAAGAAGAACAAGAAGAAGAAGGACAAGAAGAAGCAGGAAGAAGCAGCTGGACAAGAAGAAGAAGAAGAAGAAGAAGAAGAAGAAGAAGAAGAAGAAGAAGAAGAAGAAGAAAATTGAGTACTCAGTCTGTGCGAACGCTAAGCAACACCACAAAACGAAGGTTGTGCGTGAACGGTACGTACTAAGTACTTAGTATGTGTGAACAGTAAGCACTAACTAGGAACTACTACTAAGTACTACTTCAATCACTGCAGAGGGATCAACCTCACCTTCCACATTCGGATGATGGCAGGAACAGCAAGGTCTAGCAGAAGAATTCGCCCGAGACCATCTGCCACAGCAGCCAACGATCCATTCGGAGAGAGTGCAAGAGATTCTGCTCGTCTTGGAGGGTCCTTGAGAGACGCCTTCACGTTCACCGGCATACCTGGCCCTAGAGCCCCCTCTTTACCTGTCCTCTCCTCTCCCTGCCCTCCTTTTGCCTGCCTTTGACTCTCTTGCTTTGCCAGTAAACTGCAGAAGTTCCACCATCATACAACCAGCCAACCAACCCACAAACAATTCAGAGATCTCAGTCATAGTAACGTTTTCAACTTCCTACTGCTTTGATCCCACTCTTGATTCCAAAAATAGTAACAGAGACACAATTTGGTACAGCTGCTACTGGCCCTGTCACCCGGTGTCAACCCCCCTTTTTCACTGACTGGCAGTGATTGCAATAAACCACACTACAGTAATGACCATTGAGCTCTCACCAACTTCGCATTCTGATAATTGCGAGAAGCGAGAAGCCTTGTGTACACACGCTTCCTTTCTTTCTTATCCCCCCTCCGAGAATAGGCTCCACCAGGTCCACCTACCATTTTGTGCTCCTCTTTTATCCCATCATCTGCAATTCATCACCATCATCCGTGTCAAGACCAGCGCTAAATGCTCACTTCCTACCGTCTTCACCCGTGCAAAACGCGCAATCAGACCGAAAGTTGCCCCAATACAGCCATATTACTGCCATACTGGTCGGGCGTTATATTCAGGTGAAGACAGTCGCCTGTCATATGATAGATGTGACGTGACTTGACTGCGATGCTGTATTCTTGGGCTGTGGCACTGTGACCATCATCAAAACCAAACGATCATGTTCGGTGGCAACACACTATTGGGGCCTCACCACACCACTCACCAAATGCAGAAAAGACAAAAATTATGGCAGCGTATCGTTACATGTCCTACTGGACGATTCAATCTCATTTTGCACATTTGGTAGGTGGTGCGGCGAGGTCCTTGAAGTCCTGAAGCATCAGCATCAGTGTAACAATTGCCAGCATTCCCTTTGCATACACTTCATGCCTGGCTCTAGCACGCTATGCTTCCTTGAATATCTGGATGTGCAACTATGCCATCTGCACATGTTGGAGAGTGTTTGGGGGGTTCAGGAGGCGAAGAGCAGTAGCAGGGGGTGTATGGCACTGTATGCAGCATACAACCCTGCATGTATTATATCCTTGTGTGTGTGTTTCTACTTTCTAGCCAGTTTCTAGTACTTCCTCTTTTTCTAAAGGGGGTAGTGCCTAGCATCATTGCAACCATCTGATTCCATCAGGATTCGAGCCCATGATCTGTTGATCAGCAGTGCATGTCATTCAGCCACAGTTGATTCTAGCACTTACTTCACCGGTTAGAGGAAACGCACTGACTGACAGACCTCCAGTCACCCCTCCACCATCCTCTCCCTTCACCCACCACACACCCACAACCAACCTGCCAAAATTGCTCTCCAACACCCGCTATGCCAGATTCCCCCTTATCGCCCCACACACACCCCAACAACTCCCATCATTTCCTGAACAAATCAACTCCACCCCACCCCACCCCAGCCCAATCTGTGTGTTGAGAAAGCCTTCCCCGACACATAACATGTCGAAAAATGTTTGGTGTTCCAAACATGCTTGCCAGCATGGTCAGGTAAAGGTCATCATCACCTTGACTGATACTGCGATACACCATTATAAAATTGCCGAACATGTTCATACACAACCAGTCATGAACCACGTACATCAGGTATGCAGCATCCAACCACAGAATTGCATCAGGTATTCTATACTGAAAGGATTCAGAGTGTCCCGAGTCCCCGGTCCCAGTCCCGAGCCCCAGGTGTCAGTTCCAAGTCCCAGGTCCCATTCCCGAGTCCCAGGACCTGGCCCTGAGTCCCAGATCCTTGTCCCAAGTCCCAGGTCCAATTCTCGAGTCCCAGGACCTGGTCCTGAGTCCCAGATCCTAGTCCCAAGAGCCATTCCGAGTTCCATTAGTGGCTCCAGCCACTCGTACAATATTCACGAGTCCTCTGGGAGTGTAGCTCTCGTTCATACGATGACTTCGGAAGTCTAAGAAGGCTAATAGTCAAGTAGATCGTGGTAGGAAGTTTTTGTTAGATAATAGTAATGGTTAAAGAGTCTATGTTTAGAAGGCACCACAAACCTCAGCCAAGGACACAGAGGCCGTTAGGCCAGGTGTCAGTCAGTCCGACCAAGCAGCTAGATCCAAGGAGAATCCGTAAGCTTCCAGAAGCAGCAAACAAAGGAAAGGGGAGTCAACCCATAACCAGCAGAAGATGCCTGGAAGGCGGATCAGCAAGTACAAAAGTCCAGCAGCTCCTGGACTTCAACAGAACGTGTTGGGCACTCAATGCGGAAGCGCTGCTGCGGTCTTCTGCATCGGGGAGGCAACCAAGTCAGTGAGAGTGAACGTAGTGCAGTGTAGTCAATGGCGCTGGGCGCCATAGCCTTAGTTGTAGTGTGCGAGAGAGGAAGACATTCTGAATTACGAGCGAGGACTGTGAGGTGAGATCGAGAGCAAGGAGAGAGAAGAGAGAGAGAGAGACTTACCTGCATGTTGAGTTGAGCGGCCATAGCTGCTGATGACAAAGTTTGTGTTGATTTCAGAGACTCGTTTGGATGCCGTGTGTCTCACGTGAGTGCAGTGTGATGTAGAACTTGTGCCTGGATGCACCGTGCGTGGTGGTCTCATTGCAATACCGGAAAGCTTTGATGATGCACGAAGGAAAAGGGAATGAAGGGTGGGGTTAATGAGCTAGCATACCTGGACAACCTCTCAGGATTCACACCACCACCTTCTCCCCATGCTCCCGAGGTGTTAGATGAGAGTGTTGACGCACGAGGAGTGGTCGGCATGGACCTATCGCCCCCTGCACGCCACAAGAAAGAGCTGGCGTGGAAGGCATAAGAGACTGCCGACCCCACTTTGGAGACGACTTTCGACGCAATCTTCACCGGGGAAAAGCTGCTGTTCTTGTCCTCAGGAGCACTGGAAGATCAGATAGAAAAGGAAATGCAAATGGACAAACATCAGCATGAGCACACACTCAGCAAGTCAATGCAAAGCAAAACAACATCAAGATTTTTGGGATTGAGAATGAAAATGAAGCATCATGAACTGCTGATAAAAACATCTGTAAGAACGAAAGAAAAAAGTTAAAGAAACTTTTACTGTACGCACAATCTTAACCATCATATTTCTGGTTGAGTACCACTTTCCCAGATGTACACTCGCATTAGTCTTCCACGCTTCAAAACAAACAAAACATCAAGCTTTTGGGAATTGGGAATGAAAACGAAGCATCACCAAATGCTGATAAAAATATCAGTAAGATTCGTAAGAACGAAAAAAAAAAAAAAAAAAAAAAAAAAAAAAAAAAAAAAAAAAAAAAAAAAAAAAAAAAAAAAAAAAAAAAGTTAAAGAAACTGTTAGTGTTCACACAATATTAACCACCATAACTCTGGTCGAGTATCATTCTTCCGGATGTACACTGGGATTAATCTTCCACACTTGCTTTAAGGTCACTAGCCTCGCGCGCACGTGTGTGCCCTTTTTCAAAGGACAGCGACAAAAGAACAATGATGGCCCAGATGAGTGACATCATTGACATGTCCGTCATTTTCTGGTTTCGGGGCTGAACCCGAAGTGCAACTCCGGAGCAAGCTGTACCCACCCGTGGATTGTAGCTGAGAGTGGCAGCCGAGAAGTTTCCCGCTTTCGAGAGCCCACACCAACGAGGTTCATCGACCTTCTTCTCAGAAGCAGCCGACCGTGACATTTTGAGCGAGAGCTGTACTTGTAATGACCCGCCATAACACAGACTGAGAACACTGCTGATTTCTGAAGTTCTGCCGATGGAATGGATGCCTTGCTGAGAATCCCGCATTCTGCTGTGTTTCTAAGTCTGTATGTGTGCGAGCCTGTGGACTTGCGTGCCTGTCTGAGTGCTTGTCGSCATGAGTGTGTGTGTGACCCGCAAGGGTACTTGCTTGTTTGGCAGGCCCGTAGGGCCGGTACTTACCTGTGGCCGTGGCATTGAGGGTTGTAGCAGGGAAAACACTCAAGTAGCGGAGCCAGGGGCCCGTGGTGCTTAGAGCAGCGGAAAAACACTCAAGTAGGAGCTAGGCTGGTACCACACCCAGTAGCAGTAGATGTGCCGGATACTCGAGGCCGAGCAGAAGAAGACAAAGTTGGCATTTTCAGAGGCCCAGTAGCGGTAGGCTAGGTCTAGGCCGGTACCAGTCCATCCAGTCTGAGTCTAGAGCCTGTACGGGCAATATCAGAGTCTGCAATGATGTTTCCCTCCGAAAAGGGAGGAGGTACCGGTTGTTTGGGAGGCCGAGCGGCCTGGAAGTCACCGCCCAGGAGGCAAGCAGGCCGCTATATCAAGAGGCCGAGGCAAGAGCTCGGCCTCATTCTTCAGTGTGCGAGTTTGGCGACACGCTGCTGGAGCGCTGGCTGGAGTGGCGCTGGGTACTACAGCGCTGCTGGGAGGAAGAAGCCGGGAGCTTCCACCTTGGCTATGGTGGAGCTCTACCGGTAGGAGGAGGGAGAAGGGGACCAAGGAGGAGAGTCGCGGGGTACTTACCTGGCTATGGTAGACACCATCTTCATCACCTTGTTAGGCGTTGCATCTGGAAGGCCCCAGTGGGGGTAGTGCCGCATCAAGGAAGCTCGGGACAGAGTCAGGCATGGCGGTTGAGTGGGCAGTGGCATAGCTGCATGGAGTTGACCTGGGGACAGAAGGGCAGCGGCATAGCTGCTTTGGGTTGTCCTTTGGACAGGAGGGAGAGCCCTCAGTACTCCGCCATAGCCTCGGCCTGTATGAAGAGGAAGAGGAAGGGTGGCCATGGCTATGATGGACCTCCAGTTGTGCCTGCAGTAGAAGTGGGATTCGGACATTGATTCTGGTTCAGCCATTCAACATTATTATTGTTATTTCTTGTTTGAATAAGAGGGGAGGAGATAAGGAGGAGGAGATTGGTTGGCGAGGAAGAAGAGCCTTGTCATTGGTCTATGCTGGAGTACATCATCTTCTTCTTCTTTCTTACTTCTTCTTCTTCTTCTTTCCCTCTCTCACCTCTCAAGTTCATTCATTTCTTTTCGCAATTGGACGGCATTGTACTTTGTGATGTTTGTATACTTCGAAATCGGCCAGGGTCGTAACATACTACTATTCTAGGCGACAAGACACACGTGCCTCAGACAAGGGACCAGAGCGACTGGAAAATTCACACAAGGCAGCGTATTTTGTTCGGACCCTCCAACATAACCAAAGTGCCATACCCCCGTCCACCATATCCGTCTTATCTCCAGCTACCAACCACCACCGGCTCCCACCCCCCTCCCATCTCACCCCCATCCTCCCCCAATCTAACAATGAACGACCATCGTCCTGGCCCCCCCCTCGCCTCCCCCCCCTCCCCCCGAA